TTTCCAACCGATAACACAACGCAGATCATTGTAACATATCTTCTAAGTGAACATAATGAGCAGACTTTCTCACAGTGGAATGTGCAATTAATTCAAACAAAGGCTGCTTGAAAGGAATATTATGATGAAATCATTACGCTCCTATACAGTCTTTTAAGAATTGCAGACACATACATGTATATCATAGCCTTAGAAATATTAAAATTCTTAGAGGTGCTCTGATGTCAGAAAATGAATTCCACCACCCATGTACTTTCTTCGGTGATGACAGCTGCACCTTTTCTGCATTGCGTCTCCCACTCCTTCCCCGTCCTAGGTTTCTGTTTTTATAGGGAATTGCTTCACTTCCTCTTGCCGAAGCAGCTGACGGCGTTGAAGGCGCACTGCTTCCAGTAAGAGCGCTTCCTCTGCAGGTCCCGCACGTCGACGTTGTTTCTGAGGCGCTCCACCATCTGCTTGGCGAATAGGTAGTTGATGAGGGCGGTGTCCAGGGAGCCGTCGTCGTCCACCAGCTGCCGGAGGAAGGAAAGCAAGTCAGAAGAAGTCAGATTTACTTTTTTTTCATATACTGTCCGTATAAAAAAATAATAAAAAAATGTATATACACACATGTATATAGACACACACAATTCATACACACACACACACACACACACACACACACACACACACGTATATATATATATATATATATATATATATATATATATATATATATATATATATATATATATACACACACACACACACGAATATGTATATGTATAAGCATACATACATATATATATATATATATATATATATATATATATATATATATATATATATATATATATATATATATATGTATATGAATGAAATGTATATATATATATATATATATATATATATATATATATATATATATATATATATATATATATGTATATGAATGAAATGTATATATATATATATATATATATATATATATATATATATATATATATATATATGTATACATATATACATATTTATATGTATATATATGTATATGCATAATTGTGCCATCACCGATGCGGTGTTTGACGAACTTCTTGGCGGCGTGTTGATTTTTGTGGTATATATCTATATCTATATCTATCTATCTATCTATCTATATACATATACATATACACATATACATATATACATACACACATAGACACACACATCTGTATATCTATCTATCTATATATATATATACATATATGTATTTGTATATATGTATAAACATATATGTATATGTATATGTATTTATATACATGTATGTAAACATATATATATATATATATATATATATATATATATATATATATATATATATATATATATATATATATGTGTGTGTGTGTGTGTATGTGTGTGTGTGTGTGTGTGTGTGTGTGTGTGTATGTATATATGTGCATTTATACATGTGTATATATGTATGTATATAGTTATGTATGTATGATATATACATATATATGTATATAGATATATTTCATACACACACACATGCACACACATATATATGTGTGTGTATATGATATGTAAGTATAAAATATATATGAATATATATGCATATCTATGTATCTATGTACATATATATATATATATACATATATATGTATATATATGTTATATGTGTGTGTGTGTGTGTGTGTGTGTGTATAAATTCCATTGATAAATTACATTCTGTAACATAAAGTATTTATAAAACTAATCCCCACTTCCGCCTTCTCAAAAACACCTCGCGCCCAAAGGATTCGGAAAACAGTAAAGTGTAAAAGTTACGTTACATATATAACGTCTAATATAGAAATATATACACATATACAAATATATACATATATATATATATATATATATATATATATATATATATATATATATATATTTATATATATATATATCAATATAGCATTGCACTATTCCATCTTTCATATATATATATTTATTTATATGCAAGTGTATATATATATATATATATATATATATATATATATATATATAAACATACCCATAGATATACATATATATACTTATAAATCTATATCTATACATGTGTATATATATATACATACATATAACCATACACACACACACATATATATTCTTAAATATATATATACATATACATATGTATATATATATATATATATATATATATATATATATATATTTATATATATGTATTTATATAGAAATATATATATGTATATATAAACACACACCTAATCAGGAAAAGGAAAACCAATACTGCTGATTAGATCTTCATTGTTACAGACGTTTCGGAGAATCAGTCTCCATCATCAGTGCTAGAAGTAGATACAAAATTTATATATAAAAATGCTTGACAAAGAAAAACGAAAAACATAATACAAAACAGTTTGACAAAGGTAAAAATCGAATATGAGAAAGGGGCAATTTAGGGTAACTAACCATTTAACAATTGCAACAATGAATTTTTACTCAGCAGTATTGGTTATCCTTTTCTTGATCA